GATTACTCATTGGTCTGACCATAAACTAATGATTACTGCCAATTCATGCCAAAATTCCTTCCTTTCTAGGTTGGTATGAGGACCATATACCCTTGTGTAAGCCCATTTGAAATCTTCAGTTAAACTCTCAAACCTGCAGGTTATTGAGAAGTCTCCTGAATGAGTATCAACATAATGCCACAACATTTTATCCCACAAGATAATGATCCCCCCTTTATTTCCCTAAGCCTTGAGTTCAACCCATGATACCCATATATTGCCCCACATTTGCCTGGACAGAGAATTGTTCCAATCTTCAATTTTAGTTTCCTGAATACAAAGGATGTCTACTCTCCATTTACGAATCAGAGACTCCAAATACTTTTATTCTTGTCATTTAGGCCCTGCACATTTCAACTTAGGATTTTGACCTTCATGCGGAATGCGATTAGGGAGACCTACCCCTAACCTTGCTGCCACTGCCTTCTTGAAGACCCCAAGCTAGTTTCTTAAGTTCTGCTTCCCCTTTATTCTTCCTCTTTTTTGGGCTTGCTACTGCCTTAGCCTGTTGTTGTTGTTGAAGCAGTAGTTGAGCCTTTCTTCTATCCTCCATTCTTAAAATGATACCCAAGATGTCATGTTCGAACCCTGCCGCATTTAAACCAAAAGCTTTGCAAGTTTTTACCAATGCAATTTTGGTCCACCTTGATGTTTCGACCTCTGTTAGTTTGTCCATCTTGCATGGTAAGATCTAGTCGATCATGCCATGGGAGAGGAAGAAAGTCATTGAAAGATTGAGTGGAGAAGTCTGATTCAGAGTTACTTACCTTAGCTGATTCTGAGAGTAAAAATAATTGCGAAGTGGGTGGCTGAGCTTCATCATCTGCATTGAATTGGGTGTGAGATGTTTCACCTATTGCTTCTTTGGTCATGTGAGTGGAAGCTTGGATCTCCTCAGACAGAGGGTCGAAATAATTTTTAATCTCTGTCAAATGACCCTTTAGAAGACGTGTCATTATTATTCCTTAGCACCTTCCATGTATTACAGTTGTTGGGCCTTTTAAAATGTTTCTTCTGCTTTGGCCCACTTGAATTGTATCCATTATAAAATCCCAGCGTTTTGGGTTTATGGGTCTTAATATTTGTAGTTGTTGTAACTGAGACTTTTAATTTGCAGCTGGCCCCTTCACATGTAAAATCCTAGGCTGGTTTTTAAAATTGAAGTTGGTCCCTACATTAGACATATCCTTGCTGACCTGCACAAGATTCGAGATCTCAGAGCCCACATGGTCCTCTGTTACCTTTTCTGTTGGCCTCACTGCTATAGAGGGTAATGTGTTTGTACTACTGGGTATTGGAGTTGGCTGGTTCTCCGCTATTATCGAGATTTCAAATTTCAAACCTCCCCAATCTATTCCAACCTTCGCCGGAAGCTGCTTGTCGGAGTTCCTGATGCAAATTCGAGCCCAGAAAAAATGCTTTCTGCTCCAATATAGCCGCTACACTGATCTCCAATTTGTTTGAAGATTTCGGATGTCTAAGCATGGAAGGGGATCCCGAAAGTTTTTACCCATAAAACTTCCGGGCAGCTATCAACAGAAATAGTTCCATAACATGGCATCCACCATTGTAAATGTAGATGTCGACTGCTCCAGAACCAATTCCCTGCACTGATTCTAACAGCCTTCTGTCTCGATGGGAACTCGAATAGGAAACGATTGTGGTCTATGGGAGTAAGTAACTTTAAGTCCTGCACTAATTTTCCATCTGCCAAGGAACCAATTCTGAATGATTTTTGTGCTTGGGCTATTGTTGAATGGGTCATTGAAAGTTCCAATCAGACATCTAGAGAGTGGGTGTGTAACTTCTTCAACCTAGGTAGATGGGGGGAACAAACTTTTTTCATTTCAGGGGAAAAATCTTTTGAACTCATCAACATTGGGGATGCTCAGATTAGGTGGTGTTCAGTCATCGAAAGAAGCAGCCGTTTCACTAGCAAAATTAGCATCGACGAGAATAATTTACGATGGGTATGTGACGCTTTGAAGCAAACATCAAGGGGGAGAGGAGATCTTTACAGAAGATGGGGGAGGAAACAACAATAATATCTTCACAGAGTCTATCAGAATTACAATATCTATGGCAGATTTGTAAGAATAGAAGTGTGGCAAGGAAGCAGAAAATCAGCGGTGATTATTCCGGAAGCAGATTATAATAGTGGTTGGGTTGATAATGTTGAAAAAATTCTCCGATTTTTAGGAAGTCACAGCAGTAATGGTCCTATACGACCACCAACTCCATTACTTAGGAGCTATTTTGAAGCTACAAAGATTGAGAGCTGGCCAGACATTCCGATCCCCCCATAGAAAAATCCAATATTGCTTGCAGCAGGCCTTACCAACCGAAAATGGCCCACATTTGAAGCTCTTACACTATTTTAGCTCGTGTTGTACATAACTTGAAAAACACTTTTCACCCTTTAGCTCACTATTAAAGACATACTTTTAGGGTTTTTATTATTTTCTTCTTTCTTCATTCCTTTCTCTCTCTCACCGCCTCTCACTTCTTTCTTTCTAACCCACATAGATCCCTCATCCTTTCTTAACCTAGCCCCCACTATTCCCCCTCCTCTACCCCCACGCAGTTCTGCCATTAATGGCTCGAAGAAGGCTCGGGCTCCTACTCCGTCGTCCATGGTGGCAAGCAGAAGACTGAAGATTTTTGAAAGAAACATAAAAATACACACAAATCTGAAAATAAATAGCTCTCAAACTTGATTTGCACCAAAAAATAACCACTAATGTTGTAGCAAAACTAGTGCTTTCAATCTAATTCAGCAGCAATGTCATGATATTGCCAATTCAAGCGCGCCGTCGGCCATGGTTTTTCANCCGTCGGCCATGGTTCTTCAGGAATTTGGAGCTGCATTTGATCCAATACACATCCTTTCTAGTTGGAACATCCCCCAGCGCCAAAATATGTAGCAGTTTGTATTTACACTGTATACTAGTGTATAATTGTGTATATGGATATACAAACACCTCTTATACACTATTATACATATTTGTACAAGTTATATAGTATTGTATAATCGTGTATAAATGTGTATATTTGTGTATAATATTGTATAATTATATATTTTTCAGTTTATAAGGATGTATATACATTGTTAGTGTGTAAGAGGCCTCTACAGAAGTTTGACACTTCCTTCTCTTCTTTTTTTCATGTAATGTGTTGTATGAGCATTGGGGGATTCTACAATTCATTTACCAAGTTTTTCTTTTTCTTTTATCCTGTTGGATTGCTTCAGCAATTGCACATAAAAGTGTTTGAATTTGTTACCTTCAGATAATATGTATTATTCTGGATTTTTGAGTTGCGTTGTGGCTGATTTGCATTTTTTTATCAAATGCTTAATAATCAAAGGAAATTAGCAGGATGAAAACAACTGGTTGTATAGAGAGGGAGCAAAATAAGTTGTCTTTCGGGAATTAGCCTATTATTTTTTGGGCTATAGATTTGCAAAGTGATATCTAGGCTATTATATTGCAAGTCAAGTTAATGAGTTGTATTTATGTGAAATTATCCCAAAAATTTCAAAAGGAGAGAGAAAGAAAGGGCACATTTCCCACGTCAGAGAGAAAAGTTAGAGAGAACATTTTTTAATAACTGCATTCGTTATTCAAAGCATGACACCAGCTCCAGAAGCGGATCTGCCTAACAAATGATGGTGCCGGTGACCCCATGCTAATCCCATAAAATTTGATTTATTATATAAATAATTCACTTAATATTTATAAAAATACTTGCGGGCCCCCATGGTCAAAAATAGGTCAAAGGTGCACTAGTTGGGCCTTTTCTTTTTTCCCCAACTGGCCCACATTTGACATTCCTGACTTTTACAATTTGTTTTGCACGGTAGCAACAACTATCATTGTGTTTTTTTTTAGTTTTTTAATGCCAAATATCCAATATTCCCCCAAATTCCCAATTCAGTGAGTCGCGCCAATCTCCCTCCCCGGCTCCCCCCTCTCTCTATCTCGTTCTAAACTCCAAATCAGCTTATTCTTTGTCTTCTATAGATTCACATCGCAGGTATATTTTTTATTTCTTATTTTATATTTAATCTCAGTTATTTTGTTTACTTTCATCTTTATAATTTTTTTTTCTATTTTCCTCATTTGTTTGGTTCATTGTTTTATGTTTATCTAATTTTTGGAATCCTATTAACCAATTTAATGCCTTTTTTGTGTGATTTCTTATTGAATAATAAATTCTAAAGGGGTGTGATTCCCCTTTTCGTGAATTCTTTGTATGATTAAGATTGATTTGAATTTATAAAATGGATATTGTCTAAGATTAAATAAATACGAGTATTTGATTTTGTAGGAATAATTTTTCCGAACATCACAATGGATATATACGTGATCAAGTTAAACAATGGCCAACCAAGTTCTAGTTCGTGTCAACCATCTGCAAATTCACAAATAATTCCAGAAGTTCAAAGAGAAGTAATTCCTTCCCCTCCTTCAAATGTTAATAGTGACCTTAGGTTGGGATCTCTTGAAACCGATCCTAAAGAAAGAATACCCATTTCTCAGTATAGTCCTAACATTCGAAATGAAGTAAGAAGATATTTTATTCAAAGAGGGCCTTGTCAACCGAATGGTCATGATTTCCCTAAAACTAAGTTTGGGAACAAAATCAATTCAATCCTGATTGGTTTAAAGGTCCATATTCTCAATGGTTGGAGTATAGCATAAAAGCATATGCTGCTTTTTGTTTGTGTTGTTATTTATTCAAGAATGAACTTAAAAGTCGTGGACATGCCGGGGATGCTTTTACAAAAGATGGTTATAGGGGTTGGAACAAGGGTTCAAAAAAGATATAGAGCACATGTCGGTATAGTAAATAGTATTCATCATAAATGTTTCAATAGAATGTAAGATTTGGCGAATCAACATCAATCCATTCTATCTTCTTTTGACAGACAAAGCGAGAAAGTAAAAAGTAATCATCGAATGCGCTTAAATGCCTCAATTGATGTGGTGAGGTTTCACTTAAGAAATGCATTGCCATTTAGTGGTCATGATGAGAGTGAAGAATCTGAATACAAAGGTATTTTTCTTGAACTTTTGGAATTTCATGGAGATAAGCATCCAAATGTGGGAAAAGTGATATTATGTCATGCTCCAAAAAATGATATGATGATTTGTCCAACCATTCAAAAGGAGATTGTGGATGCTTGTGCTAAAGAAGTCATTAAAGCTATTATCAAAGATCTAGATGGTGATTATTTTGGAATATTGGTTGATGAATTAAAGGACATCTCACATAAGGAGCAAATGGCCCTAGTTCTACGATATGTTAACAAAAATGGGGAGGTGATAGAGAGATTTTTGGGCATTGTCCATGTGAAAGATACATATGCACAATCACTGAAGGATGCAATTTATTCTTTACTTTTGGATAACTCACTAAGTTCATCCAAGATACGTGGACAGGGTTATGATGGAGCAAGTAATATGCAGGGAAATATAAATGGCCTAAAAACTTTAATTTTGCAAGATGCTCCATCTGCATATTATATTTATTGTTTTGCTCATCAGTTGCAATTGACACTTGTAGCTCTTTCTAAAAAGCATTCGAATGTGAATAATTTCTTTGATGTTGTCACTAATTTGTTGAATACTATTGGAGCATCTTTTAAACGCAGGGAATCACTTCGACAACACCAAGTAGATAAGCTGGAAGAATTACTTAAAAATGGAGAAGTTTATACCGGGCAAGGATTGAATCAAGAAAGTAGCCTTCAACAATCGGGTGATACTCGTTGGGGGTCTCATTTTAAGACCTTGGAAAATTTGATGATTATATTTGTTTCAATTGTTAATGTGCTAAAAGATATGCAACAGGATTGTCTACTTTCTCTTGATAGATTTGCGGCAAAAAATCTTTTGGATAATATTCAAGATTTTGAATTTGTGTTTATGTTGCACTTGATGTTCAAGATGTTGCTTCTTACAAATGAATTGAATAAAACTCTACAAAAGAAAGATCAAGATATCATCAATGCTATGAGGTTACTTGACCTTGCAAAGACAAGATTGCAAACAATGAGAGAAAGTGAATTTGGGTCTTTGATGGATGAGGTTTACTTATTTTGTGGTAAACATGGTATTTTAATTCCCAAAATGGATGAAAACTATCCAAGGTCGAAGCGTAAGAGGTCGGATGTTTCATATTCGCATCACTTTCATGTGGAATTATTTTATGCTATTATTGATTTCCAACTTGTAGAGCTCAATTATCGTTTTGGTGTAGTGACTAGTGACTTGCTCCTTAGTATGGCCAGTTTGAATCCGGTTGATTCATTTGCTAATTTTGATAAAGATAGAATAATGAAGTTGCCCAAGTATTATCCAAGTGAATTTGGTGATAGGGAGCTTCGGGATCTCAGTTACCAGCTCGATAGTTTCATTGTCTATGCTTGAAAGTGTGATAGTGTTTTTCTCAATTTGAAAGGAATTAAGGATCTTGCTATAGTGATGGCCAAAACAAAATTGAATCAAACTTGGTGTCTTGTTTATTTACTTGTGAAGCTGACGTTGATTTTACATGTTGCTACGGCAAGTGTGGAAAGAGCATTCTCCTCAATGAAGCTCATAAAGAATGATCTACGTAATTGCATTGGTGATGAATTTTTGAATGGTTGTTTAGTTTGCAATATAGTGCGTAAGGTATTTGCAATTGTAACTAATGATGCTATTATGGATCGCTTTCAAAAATCGTCGAGTACAAATGTAAACTAATGATGTATTTTTGAGATAATGGAATTGGATAATTTTTGCTAGCCAAGTTGTTTTTGTAAAATTTTATATCATGAAACTGAATGTTTATCTTTGAAACATGTTTGTTCCCATCCTCTCGAATTCCTGGATTCGCCTCTGACCAGTTTTCCTAATCAACAAGAAAGATCATTACCCAACTATTTGCTCAAATAGCTCTCTTGCAGAATGTACAAACTTGGGTTAGATATATTCTAGATTTCCTCAGTCAATGCCAATTGCAATGCATGTTCTGCTTCCTTCAGGAACAGACGAGTGAGTTGTTTCTGCCCCCGCCGATATATTATGCTGGACCACCTATTTCTGCTCAGAAAATGATTCTGGATGCCGCCATTGGTCTTGGATCTGCAGTAACAACCCAAGAAAGTGTGGTCTTAGTAACGTTAACATACATGCAATTTTCATGTTGGTTGGTTAGTAATAAAAACTTCTCTTAAAGTTTCAAGTTTGAGAGTAGCTTGCAATCATACCCTCTGCAATCTTCTGGAATTTCTTCGGTGCAGGCTTTCTCAAGTAATTCAGTGTCATTCTCCTCTGTCCCTGAACCCTCTTCCAGATCCAACATCCTTTAAGAGCATACAAAGTTTAAAGAGTAAACAAATGCAAGATTGTCAACTATCAAGATAGGAGTAACACAAACAAAAATAAGAAACCCTTTTAGGATCTGGATTTTCCCACAAACTTGACAAAGTCTTGTTTTCCCCACAAATTTGACGAATTTACAGAATTCGACGATGATAGAGTAGAGTAAGTTCCTAAAAATAGCAACAGTTTTTATGCCAAGTTTGTGATTTTACTTTAAAGATTTCTCAATGCAAGTTGGAAGCCGTTGTTGTACAGATGACTGTTAACTTCTCTGTCTGGAACTGGGTTCTTAACCAACCGACCTCACAACCCGCCCATAATCCATATCCCTTTCTATTATCCAAATGAAAAATGTGACCGGCTAGAATGTAGGAAGTGTAAACAGATACGAGCTATTTCCACCTTTGGCTACAGGGAGCATCACAACGCTTTTCCTGAAGTTCATGAAAATTTTCGAAAAGGGTAATTAATAAGAGGACAATAAACCATAATCAGCTTTTGGCTGACTCTTTTCTGATGATCTCTGTTTTCTTTGGGATAGCAGAGCCGGAGAGGTAGGAGAGGGGCTAAATAAGCATATGCAGGATCAAAATATAAACATCTACTCCATAATAACTTTGGTGCTATGCTACCACTGGCAGGATGATAGTACTAGGAAGAAGATTACTTCATGTTAAGCAGATCAACAAGAAGTTGCAGAGCTCCAGAATCGCCACAAGCCTCCCATATTGCTGCTTGGACTTCTGTGTCAGTTGGCTGCCTCTCTCCTCCAGATCCAACAAGCTTGAAAACATTAAAACATAATTAATAATATAATTATAAGTTTGGCGATCTGTACCAATAAAGTGGCTTTTCATGCTTAAGAGGTTAGAAAGATTAACAAGACAAAAATAAATCAATGGGAAAAACTAAAACATACAAATAATGAAGCACCTATACTCTTTGACTCTAATCAGAAGACATGGCGCTGTTAGCTTCTAGGTTTCCAGATGGCTCGAAAGGGAGAGCAGAAGTTGGAGAGTTTAATACTTCTTTGTAAATTCATCAGTTTAAATTCCATGGAACCTTTTAATTCATTTATAGCAAAACTTGCACACATTTAACATGTCTCTCCACTGATCCATTAACAGAAAGAGCATTTCAGCGGAGAACATGCTAATCCACCGAGTTCATATCCATTACACACGATTACGGAAACATTTAAAAGTCTAGCTCCCACCAGTAAAGCGAATGAATCTACATTCTCGTAGAAGCAAAAAAGAAAACTTTAATTAACATAAGAGATTCATGATATTTCGTGTGATCAAGTAGTCACAGAACTGAAACTTGGGTAGTAGGAATAATACAACAACAACAACAACGGCTCAGTATAATCCCACAAGTCGGGTCTGGGGAGGGTAATATGTACGCAGACCTTACCCCTACCCGAGGGGCAGTAGTAGGAATAATACCAGAAGCAAATTTGGAGACTTAGATTTTTTATCCCCTCTTTCACATTTCAAAAACTGAAAACCAGGAGATGTTGCTGAAGATGGATCTTACCTCCTCAAGTAGGGAAGAAACACGATAAAGTTCATTTTCTTTCATTGCTACTGTTCTCAGTGCATTCAAAAAATCTGCAGGAAAAACTAGCTTATGCAAGTAAGAGGGCATCTTTCGTTGACCACTCCAACTATAATTGCAAACTTGACTACTGATGCATTTATCTTTGTCTTCCCCAGAAGCGTCTGATGGAGGGAAAAATCCACGATTTAGCAAACTTCGTGGTAAGAGGCATCTCAATTCAGCTTTCTGCAGACAGATATGAGCTTATCACTGCACATAGAGACACACCATGCCTGACTCTTGTTTGAGAGTTCCATGAAATTATTTGTAAGACAGAATCTGCTGACCTGTGCTTCAAGAAGTTGAGCTTTGGACTCTGAGAATTCAATGTTTTGAATAGCTTCCACAGGATAATGAACCTGAAATTTTGTTTTCCAATTGTGTGTGTTTAATGCTTTCTGATATCTGTTATTTGACCACTTAAAGAAGATAAGCTTCCAAACCAAAAGAAACTGATGTGGATGAAGTAGTTCAAGGTCTTTACTGAGAACCTTCAGCACTTGATTCTGATCCATGTGGACCTCTTAATGCTGAGTGTTACATGAGGTTCTACTCAAAGAAGGCCTCTTAACATTTAAAGTGACTTGATGAAGCACATTTAATTATAGCTGTGAGGCTTGACATTAGACATGGACTGCGCATCAAACCAAACAAAGACCCTAGCTTGATATGTTGTTAAAAAGTGCCAGCAATACATCCATTATATTAGGTGTAGTCCAATATTTTAATTAAGACCTTGAATACTGCAATTACTCCACGCAGACCTTTACATTTTAATATGGGCCATGTTATGACATGGATGAAGACTAGATCAAGCATGCATTGCAACAAATGATGATTCAGAAATACATATTCGTTCAGATAGGTTACCATGAGATAGTCGTCAGGATTATCATTCATGACGAATCCATACAAGTACAGCAGTTCCTGTCACAAGATAACCACCTATTTTAACATGAAACATAAGAAGTATAAATAAAGGAAGGAGAAAAAGATAAACCAATTCTCAAAATAGTGAAAAAGACAGATTAACTTTGCTAAGAAGATTCAAAGCATAATGCAAAATCATAAAGCTTATGCTTCAATAAGTTAGATTTAATGCAACTAATAGTAATCAAGCAGGATATTAACTAAATTAGATAAAGTAAACTCCATAAGAAAAAACCATTGTGCTCATACTTTGAGATCCTTGCATGTAAAACAAATAAGAGAAATATATCACAGATCCTTTATCCTGCTCCAATATGTCTAATCATTTTCAGAACATTGGGAGATTAAGAAGCCAACGCTATCGTAACCCCCCACCCCCTCCACCTTTTTCTTTTTTGATGAAGATAATGTATCTAAAAAAGAGTCATTATTCTCCGTCTTCAAGTAAGTTGGATTGAAGTCTGTCAAACAGCCTAGCCAAAATCAAAAATCAAAAAACGCTTTTCTACTGCTTTATGATCCAGAAAAGGGAAATAAGACTAAAAGTTGCATTCTTTTCAACATATTACACCAAAGCCATATAGACATCACCGGATGGGCTCATTAATGTAGTAGCTCAGTCACTAGTCAGTAGTCATGAATGTAACTCTCTCTCAGAAAGAACCTCTTTACTGGGTGATGATGAACAGTGGTGACCATACTAAAGCTACCAGAAAATTCATCAATGGCAAAAAACCAGCATTATCAGCAAGCAACTTTTCATTTGCAAAATTTGGTGTATGAAATCTCACATAACAGGTGAATGTACCTCATTTCCCTTGTCACCATAGCTAATTGAGATCTCTTTCTCAATCTGGGAAGGATTTTCTCCAGCTTTTTAATCAGGAAACACACATGTTAGTTGGCTAATTAAAAAAAAATACGTAGCAAATAGTGTATAGCATGGATTGAAAAAAGGAAACTATAATAAATTTCTTAAGGATTTTACCCGAAAGAAGGTACATGGAGAAAGGAACTCCAGTTGTTGCTCCGGTTCCATCAACTTCCCAAGTTGCTGCAGCTTTGAAATCTGTAAAGCAATTTTAGCAGAAAGGAAAAAAGATAAACACAAGCCATCTCAAAAAAAAAAAAAAAAAAAAATAAAAAAA